AGTGTATTGGTGTATTACTGCCAGTGCGAGGCTGTAAATGCGTCATGGGATGAGTAAGGTCCTGAGAAGTTCCATCCGCTGGTGTGATTTTAATGGTGGTTTGCGAAGTTTCTTGGAGTTGATGGGGCAGCTCATCAAACGAGTGAGGCTGTAGCCTGCCGTGCCAGTTGAAAGGCAAACCCAGGAAAATAAACCAATCCGTCGGATGTACTGATGGCAGGTTCATCGATCCTACTTGAAGTTCAGAGGTGTCCATTAACGCTTTCTTCCTTGATCTATCGATAACGGTACTCACGGTCTTAGTTTTCAGTTGATTTATTGGAAGACCAATAAGCTGGAAGTCATTGTGAAAAGTTAGGAGTCGTTCCTGTGGTGTGTATTTGTTTTCCGCTACGATGATTACACCGTCCGCGTAAGCAATATAATCGACCAAGCCTGCGGGACACATCCAGCGACAGGAGGCAGGCTTTGGAAGAGATTCGTCGAACGTCTGGATAAAAAGTAGGCGTGAAAGTGGGTTCCCTTGTCTAACGTCTCGCTCTGGCTGAACTCGCACCTCCCGGAATGTTGGGATCGCCCAGGAATGGTGCGAAAACAAGTGATCACTAAAAAAGAGTTAGGGGCTCCAAAAGTGGATTCAGCTGTAAGTACAGTCGTGAGAGATGGAATCAAAGGCCTTGGTAATGTCCATAGAGGGGAAACAGAGGGGGGGGAGCGGTGAGACTGAGAGGAGCGGATCATGGAATGGAAGATAGATAAGGTCTCAAAACATCCGTCTTTATCGAAAAAACTGAATTGTAGGCGGTCAGATGGAAAGGAGGAAATCCAGCGCTCAGAATGAATACGATGCAAAATGCGAGTGAAAACGGAGGCCACAGACATTGGGCGGAAATGTTCAGGAAGCGAGGAAGACGAGATCTTTGGGATGAAGGTGACTCTAACACATTAAGATGACAGGGGTATGGGTAAGAGGCAAGAACGTAGTCCAGAAAGTAGTAACGAAATGGGGATCCGTGCGTTCAATGTATTTCGGTGTGATGCGGTCGACGCCAGGCGCTGATCCAACCATCTGGCGTAGCAATGAGCGAAATTCAGATACGGAGATGGGTTCAACAAGATCTATTTTGAGCGGGATGATCACGCGTGGGGATCGATAGTCAGGCGCTTGTGGCTCTGAGAATACCCTCATTCGATGAAGTCAGGGATTGGTTCCTCTACTTGTAGATAGGAGGTCCGCCATCTACCATCGAGCACCTTTGCCGCCGCGTCCCGAGACCTAAAGTGAGACAGGCCCTCAAACTCCTGATTGCGACCCGTGCAGTGGGTGAGCACATGTTCCAAAGCAGGTTTGATGTGTGCTTATGTGTGGAAAGATTTCACACAAAAACGGTCGAGGTCCATTTGTGGACGAGGATCCGCGGGGACACATTGCGCGAGGTAAAACTGACGCGTGTGAGCACTGTGGGGCAGGTCAAAAGCACGTCCGCACATGTACAGACAGTGAACTTGCTGTATCGTTCAACGCCTATGGAGCTGCCAATTGCAGTAGATGTGGATCGGAAGAATCTCGCGCATTGCAAAATTCCGCTACACGCACTTGTTTGAACAAGCGATCGGCGACCGTTGCACAATAAACCTTCATATGGTCAAGTTATAGAGGTTAAATTAGTAGTGATTGTTTTGGCCCAGGTGGTCGTCATACAACTTACAGAGGTGGTTAGCATACAGAGGTCTGATTCCATAAGGTTCATATGTCGGACGTTCATTCCATGCAAAAATGGTCAACTTATGGAGGTGGTCAACTTGGGATATTCTACTGTAGTAAGAAAACAGACAGCTGAACAAAGCTTAAGCACGTTCACATAAACAAGTAGTCCCCTGTTTTAAAAAATGTCTTATCCTACCCCATGTGTTGGATACCTAGATGCACCAGAAAAGTAGGTGTCAGGCGAGATACGTCGTAAACCAACCACAGTGTGTCGGAAAAAGACGCCCTGATCCGACGACCTCAACCAAATTAGATAGCTCGAAGAAGACAGTAGCGTTCTAAAGAGAGAAAAAGGTGACAGTCGTACGTAAACACTTCGCACTAACGCACAGCTACTGCTAGACCTCCGGCCGTTTGGATTATTGCCGGGAGTTAAATCTGGACAAGAGGTTCGAACTCGAAGTATGAAGAGTGCAGCTTATTCTTTGCTAACTTATTCATTCAAATCAATGTAAAGTGGTGCGTAGAAAAAGTGCTTTCGAATTGGTGAGTGCCGTTATGTCTATCATTAAAAGTGGTCACATGGTGCATGTGAAAATCAGTATAATTTTGTATTTTAAAAAAATTCCGATACGTATCGCAATTAAGCGGTCCATTTGTGCTCCAGACGGACAAATCAGTGAAACCATGGCTATGTCCGCTCCAGCAACATGCGCGCTTGTCGTAAACATAAAGTTTGCCAGGTGAGATAATTGATCTGAACAGCCGTATTGCTAATAAAGGAACAAATCTCAGTAATGAAAACTTTCGAGTGGTTAGCAGGAGAGCTCGAACCCCGATCAATAGGTTGCTCACGGTTTTGTTAAGTTAGGTGGAATCGCTCTCTGACTGCGTGTGGCTCTTACCAAAAGCTGTAACCTTATGAACAAGTGTGGCGAGCTGTCACTTCGCTGTATCTGAGCAGCCACATGACCTAAAACTCTTCTTGGAATACTCACTCTTCGGATACTCTGGCCGAAAGTTTAACTCCCCCCAGACATTGTGAGTTAGGGGTGAAACTTGGAAAAAGATGCGGGAAAATGGGGTAGCACAACGCACTGTCCATCGAATGTGTATAACACCGTGCTCAGCTCTGTTGCTGCTGAGATTGATGGGTTGTGACTAATGTGTAAGTAACATCCATGTCCTGGAGCCCGTGGCAGCGAGTGATCATTCAGCGCTCAATACCAACATGAAGCTACAGCTGCCATGTTCTTGCTCGCTGGAGCCAGCCAACAAACACTGTAAGATAGACCACGACGGTTCATCCTGAGCCGCGAGTGTAAAGGGGTTAGCCTAAATCATAGACTGCATATATGTTGAAGCCAGTTGGTCAATTATACCAGAGAGAATATATTCGTTGTACTATCTGCCACTTAAAAATATACAGGAAAACGTCAAAGTTATCGAGCAGCTTAGGATCGAAAACTACAGGGCGAATGCAAAAGCATCAATGACTTCGTAACAGTATCATCTTCAATAAAAGTTGTGTTTTGAAGTAGCCGAGTGAGAGTTCACTTTCCAAAAAAATAGCACAAACACTTATGAAGTGCGTAGTTTTCCAATACTCACGATATGAATAGCCGTAAACATTATTCACTATGTTTGATTCTTATCATGATGATGAGACAAATTAAGACGACTAGGTTCACTAAAATTAAGGACCGAGGGCACGGTTGATTAGATGGAGTAATTTACTGAAGTTGAAAGTTTGGCGCCCCAGAAAGCACCATGGCTGATACGGATACCTTGCTACCTTCTTTTTCACCTGTTTCCCTCGCATTTGGCAATATTCCAATTACTGCCCTATAGCCTGCAATTTAATTGGTGGCAGCTAGGGTTCAGTTGAAGCATGGCCACCTGCATGTATGCCGACCGCAGTACCGAACAGACCTAAGTGATGGATAATCCACTATCAGCACTTCAGCCCGTTTCCCGGATGACGTCAGAGACAGATAAGCCAACAGGCTGCACATTAAAACGCGCACTGGATAATGGATGAGTTAACAAGTGAGTAGTGCACTCACGCTGTTGTCGAAGTAACATCGAATCTGCCCTCTGCCTGTTAACTCCAAGCATCCACAGTCAATGTGACAGTAATCAGAGACCAGGTTCGAAGTGTTAGCAATCTCAACTCCAGAATTAAATCAACGTAGGCCCACTGGATTCCCTTAAACGACCGTCCATCTGCAATTCCCAGATAGTGACAAACATTGCCAAAGCACTGGACTGCACGAGACGATGACCTACCGTAGTTACAAGCCATGCTTCAACTGAGTGCAACCTCGATAGCGTCGAATTGCGCACACTGTTAGACATTAACATTAGCTCATGAAATTGAGGTGGATGTGAAAGTGCGAGTAGACCGTATGAGTTCTTCGTGAGTTTAGGTAGGCGGGATGCACACGCCTAAACTAGGAACGAATGGACAATGATGAGTGCGTGTCGCAACCGTGCACCAATGACCGGCAACGGTGCCTTCGCGTGCAACGAACGTTGCTGTGTCACTTGGCTTCTTCCGATAGATTGTTGGGGATGGGCCCAAGCAGATCGCTTCGCATCATGTATCAAGTGGTGAGGCTCTAGCGTCAATTGTCAAGTGCTTTAGAGCACGCATCTGGAATGTGATCACGTGTTGTTCGGTCGCAGAGTTTCGGCTAGGCAATTCCACTATCTCAGTGCATTGTTTTGACTCACTACCCATACTTTTCTAACCCAGCCATGATTTCAGCTTTGTAGGTTATAGAATTTCTTTTAGATTTGGACTGCAAGAATATACTATAATCCATCTAACCAATAGTTTTCTGTACGGGTTGTGTGTATAGTCATAATTGATTAGCCAACAGCACTTTTCTGTGACAGTTCGCAGAGTGTATCTGGTCCAAAGCTAGTTTCTACACCACACAGTGACGATAGTTCGTCCGCCCCTGTCAATGCACGCCAAAGAGTCTACTGATAATTGGCTGATAAAACAGTGCGCTCAGGATGCTAAACGAAATATTGCAGTGTTCATGGAGCGCTGAGGTACACTGATGTAGAAACTAATTCTGACGCATAATATACATCCAGGCTCAGAGGACAGAGCAGCACATATCTTATTGAGTGCCCTTGAACAAAAACCATTCGATGATAAATTGATCCCATAGGAATACACAGTGATTCCCAATGCGCATCTTTTGCTAGGAAGAGTGATTCAGGAGATCAAGCAAAAACATCAGGCGCAAACCAATATCACATAAAACTGGTCACAAACCTAGTGATCTGATCGAGGAAGGTACACGCATCTCGTTCGATGCTGGATGCTTCGGATAGCACTTCTTCTTGGATGCCCACTCCGAAGTTGTTCCCGTCTTCGATGCGAGGGATGTTGTACTGTACCCATAACCGAACGATCTGAGCCTCCATCATGAGGCGGGTGAGGCAGGGCTTTGTCTTCTGTCAAGTTGGGAAGACAGCGAAAGAAACAATGGCAGGAAAATGGACAATTAGGCGAAGAAAACTCAACAAGGAGTTACTCCATCGATCACAAAGCAGTGTAGAATATATGTACATCCTATGTGACGGCAAAGAGCAACAAGTAGTCCAGTTAGCGCCGAAGTACCTAAGGTACCACAAGATGCAAGCCCAGCCTAATAAGATGACTTTCCAACCGCTTAAGGCAGCTCTTATTCCTCTTCTCCTTAGGTTTCCTAAGTTCCGAGCCTTCAAGCACTAGTCTACGCGAAGCTCTGCATCGCCTTTTTGTAACTAATGTTCCTTGTAGACCACCGTAGCCTCATCTGGCCTTAGCTCACTGACTACCTTGACCATCATTGCCTCCTTCCACCGCCCACGGGTCTCCCTTGGCAAACAGTGATCAAGTGTTAGAGTACTTATTCATTAGCCTGGACCCTAGCAGTTCCTGTAATCTAGATCATGCAAGGAATCTTCCAGGCACGAAGCTCTAAGAACACAGGTATCAAATATGCGCAGTAACCAAGTTCAAATAAAATATGCAGATCAGTAAAACTGACACAAGTATAAGCTCTTCAATACTATGTGTGTACCAAATGCACCTTGGTATGTTTTCCACTCGTTTACCGTAAAGTCTTTCCGACATTCTTTAAGAGATGCCCCATACATACCGTAGAATGGTCATTTGACCCTTTCGCGCATGAATTACGTGCAGCAGATATCGACTTGTCAGCCATCTTGACTACACAGTAGAAAGAACAAATATTTACCGCGGTGGCAATGGTTAGATTATACAGGGCAATGTCTCTGCAGTGGACTGCATACATCAGAGGTCATGAAAAACGCCTGTGTAGCTGTGGAACGAGCCAACGACAACCATCTACTAAAGTGACCGCTATGCACGAAAGAGTTAATCCCGGCGGATCCAGTACCAACGTTCGATAGCAAACCAAGCTATGAATGGCAGAGTATCCTTCCATTGTTATAACTTCGATATCAGAAGGATTGCCCCTGTCACGTCGTGGAAAAAAACCGTTGTTCTCTTTTGTGGCTTGAATCATTGAGTAGGCCTATTTTTAGTGCATGAACAAACACATACTACTTACTTTGAACTATACCGATGGAATAACGCAGGATTTTGAATGTACTCGGAGGACTAACACTCGCCATTTTCACTTAGCGATGGATGAACGACTTTCTTGTCTATACTATCACCAACCATATCCGGAGGATTTGTACTTTTCTAACTTGGACAGAAATCACATTCTTCTTTGTGGTCTGAACAATGTGGCTCAGTATTTCTCATGGCTACAAGAACACTTTCGCAGTGTTTCTGTTTCTCTGGAGTTACCCAGATGATATATGCAGGACCTTCAGTCTGAAAATTTTACCTGATTATGAATGAACGCGAACCTGCCATATCTGGAAGATCACCAGTCCCTATCTATGACAGGGCTACGATATGATTTCGCTTGCGACCATTTGGTCGACCAAACGGATGACGATTCTGTTCCACCGCATGTTTCATTCTAGTCCAGACATCAATCCAGTGGATGAACTTGTCGCTACGACGCCTAGATGATTACGGGTAATTTAGTTCCGTTTATGAAGCTTAATATTGAGCACACAATTCCGCTCTTCAATCTT